AGATTAATATACAAACATACAATATACATATTTTATATAAGACATAAGTCATTAGATATTATGAGATAGCAATAAGATTATGAATACGCTGAAAATCATAATTTCATTGCTAATTATATGACCTTAAAAATATATCTTTAATAATTTCAGAGTAAAGTTATAATTGCTTGAATTGTATAAATTATTGGACAAATTAACCAGAAATAATTCACATTTTTTATGAAATGATTAATCATAATCAATAAATCTAGTGAACCGGCTAAACCTGCTACTTAGCCAGTTATAATAGACTATAGTACCTATACTTCTATGTGTCGTATAAAACATAATTACTATGATTCCTTTGATATTCATGACACATAAGCCGTAACTTATCATACCACATAATAATCGTTTGTAACAAGTAATGTTAAACCTATAACTTTTGAGTTATGAGTAGGTATTACATACTTTCATACCTACATTACATCATTAGGCAGTAGTGCAGTACGTAGGTACATATTTTACTCATTCATATGTTATAAATAAATTGTAATAATTTATTTTCAACGCTAAAACTGTACCTACCTATAATTTTACTAATACTTTTAGAGATTTAAATATGAAAATCATATTTTTTGATGAGAAGGTCAGTAATTTTTTTCTATTTCATGTTTGATAGACCAAATAGTTACAACGTATATATCATAATATATAAAATGTTTAATATCGTAATAAAATAATCTATAACACATCTATTAGTACATTATCATAATATTATATTGGCATAGGTAAAGCGTTGCAACTTTGTAAGTATCCATAAATACCTATACTTTCCTACCTAATAAGCATTTTTTCGAAATTATAATGTATTATAAGCATAACATAAATAGTAAACTTGCTAATATTATAAAATGATGTTCTAATGAAGATAATACTTGCACTATAAAATAATATATATGTATGTTAGATATAATATATTTTGTATCTATTTATAATTTATATATTATATACTTTACTCAAAATTACATACAATAACGTTACCTGTACTTTAAAGTCCACGTAGATTGTATTATATATTTATATCACAAAAATGATACAAAATTTAAACTTAGATTAAATATTTTTCATTTACGGTTGTTGCAAGAGTATAATATATATTATTATACATGCCTATATGTTGTCAAAACATGTATGAATAATGTTTTTAAAGTTATTTAAAAGCAGTTTTGCAGTGTAAATAATACTATCCTTGAAGTCAAAGTAATAATATAAACAACGCTTCAAAACGTATAGTTGAATATTACTATCTTTGGAAGTATAAGTAACTACTATTTAGTTATCTATTATCTATAGTTATATAATATTTTTATTTCTTAAAATTTACCACCGACGTTTAAATGAAATAATATTAGTTATTATCTACTTACAAAACATTAAGAGACATACCAATATGCCATCATACGCCAAAGTCATTCGTGTTTTGTGTAATACCTGTATAAAATGTATGAATTATCTTAGTTCTTTCAATACATATTTTATTACAGAGATATAAAACGTTTCTCTTCAAAATACTTTATAATATATATTATGAATAAGATATTGTATGAATAATAAATTCATGTATGTTGCCGATTTTACTCTATGCTCCACTTGTTCGAAGCTGATTGTACTAGTTTGTAGTTTATTGTATTATGTTATAAGTTATTTAGCAATGTAGGCAAGGTAAGACATAGCAATATTAATATTAGATGTTAATTATCAATATTTAGGCATTATTTTGTTATAATCGGCCAACGCACATTTCCCCCTATATTATGTAATTATAAATATATATATGTTATTTGTTTTTATTACTATCATCATTATATTTTGTATACGCAGTCTATATAGCTGTCAAAATAATTTGATAGCTCGTGTTTAGAATATAATATTTCATGCGCCGAAGAAACGTGGTAAATTTGTATTCGGATGGGAATGGGAATGAAAGGACTGCAGCGGCCGCATAACGCATTATGTATATTATATATTATAAAAGATGAAAGACGAAATGGTCGGAATCAACTACCTACACACACACACACACACACAGCAACAACAGCAGCAGCAGCAGCCCTTACGAGTTACGTCGCCACGCGGACCGCACAGGTTCTTTGATCAGGCGCTGGACACGCGTAAGTCGGGCTCTACGATTGCATTCCATTCACCGCCGTCTGCAAACATTACACGCACGGTAAAAACGTTTACGACCAATAAAGAGCGATTTCGAAAAAAAAAATATAAAACATTATATTATCTCTTGATGACATTGAGGTGTCCGCTCGGACGAGGCCGACTCAGTAAATTCATCAATCTCCAAGTCTCGGGGTATTTGTTTCTTCGAACTTTATGGCCGACCATTAATCACGGCCGAGAGTTCTATCTGGCTCCGGAGATCGGGCACACGCTATAAACGCTCCGGTTTTATTATTTATTTATTCTTCTTTATTTGACTTTTCAATATATCCCCCGCTACTATATTTATATTAAATTATTACCGCGAGATTCTTTTTATATTTTTTCTCTTTTTTTTTTACACCCACTATAGCATAAACTCGCACACACAAGTGTACACCGAAGTTGATTTAATGCGACTAGTGCCTCTATAATATATAATAATAATAATAATAACGCATGAGCGTGCTGTGCGGGAGGTGGAGAYGGGACTAGGAAGAAGGAAGAAACGAAGGAGACGGAGGACATGTAGAAGCATAAGACAAAAGAGAAGCAGACGAAGTAGAAAAAGAAGAAAAAGAAGAAGAAAAGAACGACGACCGGGGGAAAGGAAAAAACAACGGGTTTATAAATTATAAGTGCACAGTAAAAACTCAGGTATGTCTATTATTAATACTAAATAAGACAGAGAGAAAGACACAGCAGCTGTATACATATATATTATATATTATACATATATATATAAAATTTATAAAGTATTAAATATAATAAAAACCTCTTCTGCAGTCTTCACGTAATAAAACCTCGAGACTGCTGGTCGCCGTTTAACGCGTGCACACCATCATGGACAACCCATCGTCGGTCGCCCGGCCGCACCACAAACGGATTATAATYCGCGGTTGATCATTATTATATTATTATTATATTTACGTACATAATGCAGTGAGTTAATATTACTTCTTTTGCCGGTCTGACGAAAAAAAAATCTTACATGGCAACCTTGTACAGATGTATATACATAATATTGTTCCACGTGAATGCTCAATACGATTTATATATAAATCATTAGAATTGTAGATACTTTAATATAGGTACTCCACTTATTGCCACACTTGTATACTTTGTGCAATTACAAAGCAAAAACAATCAAAATGTAAAAATGTATAATCAATATATAGCGTCATTCTATTTTAACCAAACACTTCAGCAGTTCACGATTATTCACTCTTCGTCGACCTATAAAGCGAATTCGCTTTAAAACTCAATGGTCAGTTGGTAGTTGGTTTTTATTGGTTGTATATATATACCCACACATCCCGTGTAATTTTACATAAATGAGATACTGTGGTATTTCTATTTAAAAACAGTTCAACTTAAAAATTAGAAAAATCCTAGTTACAGTATTGTGACAAGCATTATAAYAAACCTCATTCAAATTATGCGTCTAACACGTCCGTCTCCGTTGGACGATTAAGGCATTTTTAAATAAAGTCTGCACTGATTTACGGGACACAGAATCAAATGTGATTGCTCTAGCTGTAATGACATAATMGTATTTTATAATTAAATAAAATATAAACTGYAGTGACTAATTCAAATTGTAATAATGTATTATTTTAAMACGATTTAAGTGTATATAGTTATGTATAATGTCTTATACAGTTGCCGGCTAAGCTAAGTGTATTGATGTATACTTGTATATCAATAAAATATAAAAATCTGTTTAATATATTATACAGACAGAAAAATATTTAATACTAGAAAATAGTGAAAATACGTTGAGTCAGTAAGTCAGTTCACGATTGTGGTATATACCAAACATACAACAGAGTTTAATTTATATAATATTATAGGAAATATAGTACCTACCTATAGCGTTCTCCGGTTCATTCTCCCATATAATGTCAGCCAGATTACAGACCCATGCAAAATTTAAACATCCATATTAGCATCGAAGCTAATTTAATTTGAATATTTCAAAATTAATAGTATAATAATTAAATACATCATATTTTATTCATGCTATATATCAAATTTATTTAACTTATAATTAAAAAAGAAAAAGAAATAAATCTGATAAGTCGCTCTACTGTAGTACGACTATTAAGAAGAACTTTATTTAGGAATTTGCCATTCAGGGGCCAAAAACGCATTTAATAAATTAAAATATAAAAAAATKGCCACCCTCTCATAATCAACAGCCTGGGGTAAACACACTTCGTTTCCCACACCTTCCCCTAAATACTGTCCTTCAGTTATATATGTATATGGATAATATATCAAATTTAATTTAATTTTAAATTCATTGCAATTGAAAAACGTTTGTGAGAAGATACTACTGCTAGTAGGTACTTACATCATTTTATGAATTAAAAATTAATTAATGAAAATTAACTCGTTGAAAAATGTTTTTTTGTTGTTTATGACTTTCGAATATAAAAATCAGCAACATTTAGGATCTGGTTTACAAGATATTTTTCATTTAAAACAATATAGTTAGAAAAGTTTTAATCAATACAATGAAAGTATTTGGGCACTTTTGAAATCAATCCATATTTGAGAAAAAATTTTAATTTGTTAAATTTTCCAAAAACATGAAAAATGCTTCTGGTAATGTAGGATCTGGTTTATAATAKACATATTGTGTTAACTTATTTTAATTTAATATTTTATACCGGCTAGGTAATTATAGTAAAGAGTGGTCATAGCATTAAATAAACAGAATGTTRTACAGCCAAATTTATGTTTAAATTATATGTAATTATATGTAACATAATTATAATCTATTAAATATTATATGTAACATCATGGATCCAGAACCGACAAATAATGAAAAAAAATTTATTGAATTCATATTGTTTTTGGACTGTATCAACAATTTAGTAAGTTATTAAACACAGTTTAATGTATGATATAAATGTATAACGTTACACGCTTTTAAGGATGCTTCTCTCAACTTTCCTCTTAATTTCAATGTAAATATTGAGTTTTATGGCAACTTGTTGAGTGTAGGAGATGTTATCGTTACTCTGATGGATACTGATGGAAAAATTGATTTAGAAGTTCCTTTAAATTTCCCTTTGGACGAAATTGTAGAATACAACAAGTTTGCTTCTCATCCTATGCTAAGTAACTGCTATATACAACTTATATCTGAATTAAAATATCTTTATTAAATTCTCTCTGACAATTTATAACTCATTATCGACTTTGTCACTACGAATTGAAATTTACAAGAACAAATTGCACTAAGTAAATATAATTCTTAAAATTTATCATAATAATAAACAAAAAATATAAATAATTTAGTCTATCACTATTTATATAAGCTAAATAAAATTTGAAAAGACAAACAACAAGTACCTGAATATCTGTATAGTTGTCGATGGGGTTTTTTTTAATACATAAAAATATATTTAATTATTTAATATATAAAAATAAATATTTTACAAAAAACGGGGTWTAGAGTTTTGTAATGATTGTATTATCAATATATTTGTAATAAATCATTATAATATTATTGTCTATACTATAGACTATAGACTATAGACTCTATAGCATAGAATCATTTTTTATTTTCTTGACATGTTTAATCTTTTAATAATATTATAATCGTTAGTTATAGTAACTAGTTAGTAATGTTATAATATAGTTATTAACTAATTTTTAAAAAWTTTTTTAGTTTTTTTTGAATCACTAAATGAAATTGAACAAACCCCTCAAAAATCAACAATCAATCATAAAAGCAATATTAAACAGACGTGGGTCTGCATCGTGGACTTGTTGTCTTTGGTTTATGGTAATATATTGACATAATATGTCATACTATATTTTATTCATCTGATAGGTTCATCCAAAAATCAGGATTTTATACTAAATATACTTTATTKTTATTATTATTATAGTTTCWAGTAACAACATRGGCGGCTCCGGAAGGGGGCTTGTGGCGGAGGCCCCTTCCAAGCTTGTATTTCTAAAGATTACATTTACTTGTATTTCTGTTATAATATCGAAAATGTTCTGAAAATTATAACAAAGCAACTTTCCCCCCTCCAACCATGTATCTGTAGCTAAAGGARTGTTATACAAATATATTTACTTCATTCTAATTTGGTAACTATATACCTTCCAGACACCACTTAACATTTATTAAATAATGCTATTTGCTAATGAGCGATGCTTATTCACACATAAATTATAAATAATAATTAATAAACATGTCAACTTTTAATGTGTACTGTACCTACATTTAAATTTTATAAATTTAGTTGACACATGTAGGTACACTTACAGTCTTACAGATATATCGTATATAGAAGTATTTCAAGTATTTTTATAAAAACAAATATAATGAGGTTTTATACACTCTGCACTTGGCTATAATAATTGATTATTAACATGTTTTTTAACCATGTTACGGATTAATGTATTCTTGAATATTTAAATATTCGGGATCGTAAATTGATAGTCAGTGGATTTAAAAAAGTCAAAAATAAAATGAGGAAAATAACAAAATTAACGGACGATTCATTTGGCAGTTCAGGGCATGCAGACATTAAGCTTTACTTATTAGTTATTACTTGCTTATTATTATTGATGTCACATATTATGAGGTTACAACTAGAGATCATAATCTTATTACCTAAGTTCACTAGTTACAATACTATAATAACCAAAGATATAAGTAATAAACTAGATTGCTAACTGGCAATAATTGTGAAGTCGGAATCCGCCATTTTCGTAGAAGTTATGAGTCTTATGGCAGAACATTCAGTCCATTCTGAGCTATTACCTATTATAAAAATAAAAATATTTGTAAGCACACTAATTTTATTTTTATTTACAAAATTTGGTGTCGTGACCTGCTAAATGCTTGATTCCTAGATCAAATTACTAAATTACTAAACTTAACAAAATAGGTAGTGTCATCATTGGATGGCTTCTTCCATCATATTACTCATGTTTTTTTATTACTCTTATCTAATTTGCTTATTATTCTATGAATAGATTGTAAATATCTTGTAAAAAAATAAAAAATAAAATTTACAAAATTTCTTATTGATAATAGATACTCAGATAATTCCCACAATGATGGTTGACAAATGACTGCTTCGTTCATTTCAATCATGGTAAGCGCACAGGCCTACAGCAATCTAATTTATTATCTATATCCGTCATTATAACATAAGTACAGGGTACCTAATAATACGTAAAATGTACGCACTCCAAAGAAGTTACATGAAATTATCATACGCCATATACGCGTTTAGATGTCACTAGTGTTGGATCGGAGCCACGTGTCAAGGTGTGCGGACAGTATCCGTTGAAGGCGATCGGTGAGCGCAATCAGATTTTGCTGTCGGACACCGCGCACCTGAATGCGACCATATCGTGTCCGGACGGACTGAGTCGGATCAGATCGACTACGCCAAACAACGTTCTGAACATCGCCATGCACGGTCTGTACAATCCATCGATAAGCGGCCATCAACATCACACTCGTGGCTCGGATACAACGTGTTCGGCCCTACTGCACGTGCCATCAGCAATCGAATCGGTAATAATAATAATAATAATAATAAATTGATGATAACACCTGTTAACAACATTTGGCGCGCGCCTATCATCATTCCCAATAATAGTATTAAACAAATACGTATAATGTACATTATACGTCATTATACTCGCAATTTTCAAATGTATAAACATTTTATTTCTCTATTCGTTAATATATATTACAAACATACACATTATGTATAGGTGGGTATATATTATTATCATTTTTACGACTAGAATGAGATGAGGTCCGCTTCGATTTTGCCTGAGCACAACGCGAATAATGTAACGTACCTACCTTTATATTACGTCCGAGGTATATTCAAGCGTATTATAGGACAGCGCCGATATAATAATATTATAATATAACAGTCATAAATAAATTCGGTTGGAATTTGTTTTTATTACTACTTTTTTTTCTTCAGAAAACTGTCTTGYGCTATAAATTTTGCCAAAAAACAAATACGTTCGTCGTAAAATATACCGACAACGGCTCAGCGTGAGTTCGTTTATCGATTTTYTTTTTACTTTTTCAAAAACRACCCACACGTCGCCGCCGCCGATGCCACTTGTTCCATGCCGACATTACATGTATGATGTATGTCATATAGATTCCTAGTATATTCACAAACCCTACGTTGAAGTGTTTATGTAACAACTGAAAACCAAAGCTGATCCGATAAATGATAATATACTTATATATTTTTTGTATAAAATATCATATTTAAAAAAAATGTTCAAGTTCTTAATTGAATATTCTGGATCATGATATTATACGTCATAAAATAGGTATTCATTACATACGCTCACTCAATAACTCGACAAATAAAAACTTATCCAATTAATTCCCTTCACTTGATTCTAGTAATTAGAATGTTGATTGTCTGTATATTATAATCATGTTTATTTAAATCTTATCATCATTTATCTTGAGTCTTGACCATCATAATTTTTAGGAATTGTATTGAATACCTAATTGTAGTAGAGGTTGTAGGTACCTACATGCAAATTAGTTAAGATGAATAGTATCGATTAGATAGCAATTACCTATGTCCTATAACTATTATTATTTATCACGGCTTTTATATCATATTTTGGACAACATTTTCAAAATTCAAATATAGGTTAATAGTTAAATTTATATATTTTAACTACAGTACATTATATTAATGTATAATATAGCACATTATACATTATAAAGCAATTGATTTAGTTTACTTTATTCTATTGTTTTCTTTTTTTTTTTTTTTTTTGTTATTGTATTAGTGCCAGCTGTAATTTATAATATAATAGTACGTACCCATGAATTATATTATCATATTTTTTCGAAGATTCTAACACTGTTTTTGATAAATTAACTACCGTTAGACACTTAGATATATAACTTTCGTGTTTCGTTTAATATTATCGTGTGTGTTTTTATTGATGTTATAGAAACTACCTGTTTTATAATAAAAAATAATTTTCTGATGCACAGTGCACCACGATRTATATTATTTCTAACATCAGACCTCGCTGATTTACATTATTTAATAATAATCGTTTTAAAATGACGTATTTATTTCATTGTAATTGTATTTTTTTTTTTTTACATTTGCCCCTGTAGAGTAGGAGATCAGCTGACTTGTTCTAGGTGACTAGATATTATATGATATGATATAATTGATAAAAGTTAAGTTATAATAAGTTACTTATAAGTTATGATTCTATCGGCAATACTGAATAAAAAATGAATTATTATGTTTATATGTTTTTCTGTTATGAAAGAGTACGCATATCTACTATTGTGAAGAGTGTTGTGTACCTATACCTATAACTATAACTATAACTATACCTATAACGTACTGTCAAAAGTATAAATTAACTATAGGGGCATGATGATATGGATAATTAGTAGGTAAATTATAATTTCTAACATTACCTATATTAGACAAATAGATCCTAAATACCCTTCAGCCAATAAAAAAATGTTGACTACGGTACTGGACACTGATGTACCTATAACTGTTTAATAATATACAGAATATGAGTGTTGCACAGTGAAGTATATATTTCTAAATAGCGTATAATACCATATCATCTTATTAAATATCCTAATAAGTAATGACATTGACGTGTAAAATTATGATATACGGTGTCCATATATAGGTATCTATACCTATTGGTATGTGGTATATGTAAAAACAAATTTATACTGCTTAAATTTATTCATACGTCAAAAACAATAAACTATTAAAGTAATAAATCAAAATCAATGCCACTWGACCCGGGTGTACAGAGTGTGCACTGTGCACTGTATGGACCCTAAGACCTATTTATATATTTTGAATGGACCATCAAAAGATTTACAACTCGAAATTCTCACAAATATGGAATTTTTGATTTAAATAAAACGATTCATGTATAGAAAAAAAGTKAAAAAGTAATGTTATAAGAATCATTTGAGAAAAAATTGATTTGAAAGACTAAACCGTTTTTAAATATTAAATTGTTTTAAAAATTAAAACTTTTGCACCTTTGCAGGGGAGATCTTCTGATTTTTTGCTTCAGTTATTACCAGCTAAATCCAATATATTTCTAGTTCCGGTTTCGATATTTTTCTTAGCGGAAACAGAAATTTCGGTTAAGTAACTAAATATATTTATGTATGTTTGTGTATATCGTAAATACTTGCTTTGATAGCACAATCATTATGTCCCAAGTTGTATGTAGAGTTATCAGATTGTGACTAAAATGAGGTACATAATATATATATTATTTTTTTATTAGGAAATCCATAGCACCGTATTTGAGCGTGGCACATACACGGATGTAACGAGGGACGTAAACGATCTGCGATGGTTCAGCTTGGATAACATGCCGGCAACCGTATCCACCACGGGTCAGAGGTGCGTAATCACACAATTCCCACGAATTCACGTGTTTGGCCACTTGAAACCGATCTGCGGTAGGTAGGTAAAAAAAAAAAAAATGTATGTACCCAACAACCAAATAAAACGAAGAAAACGGGTAGGCTCCACTTAAAACAGACACAGTATATTATGTTATAGTATGTATTCACGTAAAGACAATAGARAGGAGTTTATTCAAAACAGAACACTATACAATAATATATAAATGTATGTATATTATATGTATATATTATRCTCGGTATATAGTGCTGCCCCGTCATTTCGACGTCTTGTGATTGTTGTACAGTAAAAATCCCATAGACGATATTTTGGTATCTTAAAATGTTCCCAGATCGATACAGGTGGTCCGAATTTAACTCAAGAGCTTCGTTGGCGTGCGTGTATGTTGAACGATGTTGAAAACGAAAATTGTCTCTTTTATAATAGGTTCGAGGAATACAACGGCGTAGTGGTGAATTCGGCAAAAATTCCCGAACCAAAAGACGTACTGTTCAAAGGGCCCAGGTTCGAGTGGAATCTAAGGAACCGATTTCTTATGAACGAAACATCAGCATATGTATTACAAGACTTCATTTTCAAGTAGGTACCAACATATTCTTACTTGTTACGGGGRTCCGGTGACAGTATCTCAGGAAAAAATATCTAGGCTAAAAACAATTTGAAAAGGAAATGATATATACAATATACATATATTATAATACATCAATATATTTATTAATATTATTATTACTTATAATACTTATATATATATATATAATTAAAAGTTAAAACCTTTATACTACTACCTAAGGATAATATTATAGCGATATATGTTAATTTATAGATATTAAAAAATATTTAATATATATATATATTTACTTTTTATGAACTTTATATGAAAAACAATAAAAAAATAAATGCTTTCATAATTGTAAAATATTTTAAAATTAATATATCTTCATTGCATTCATGTATTAATATTATTTATGAAGATCGTTAATCATTGTACATTAATTAAAAGCTTTTTTTTTAAATAATTTTCCCTGAGATACTTTTACATGGGAACCAGTAACATTTGCTTGGCTTATTATTGAGTTATGACRTTAATTTTATTAATGAGTTACTTTTAACAGACAAAGATATCTACTTGTCACATTTTTATTTAACAAAAACAACCTAGTGATGGTTAACAATACAAGTAAAACACCCACAAGGGGATCTAATACGTCATCAAATACAAGCATCAACAATGAAGTAGTATTTGTAGCCTTTTTGGACCTGTCAATGTTGTTACAGCCAAATTGTATAAAAAATTGTTCGTATTTTATACTCGTCTTAACTTAAAATCTTTAATTTATATTTATAGGCACTTCAATAAGATGCTTGTCCATTGTTCATAATGTTGACGTAGAAATTGTAAAACACAACGAATTGACATTCAAAAACTTTGACCTTGGCAAACTTATAAAGACAAATATCGAAGAAGATTTGAAAAAGGTTTTGAAACATTTTATTCATATAACCTTAATATATATAAGATAAAATCTATTAGAACTAATATAATGTATAGTGTTCACTMTTTTTTAAATCATATTTTATTTACAGTAAAATCTATAGAAATATATTATTAAAGTTAATCGGATATGAAAAGTGAAAAGTAATATACCTACTAAATAATATAGTGTCTTGAGATTGTTGAATAGTTATTGGATTTAAAATAGATATTTTCGAACACACATATTATTCTTTAGTATTTAACTATATAACACATACATACGTTAAACACTCAAAAGTATAATATCATGTCATTTTAACATTAAAATAAGGTAAAACTGGTATAACATTGAAACTATTTGAAACACTATATATAATAATATATTACATGATTACTCAATATAGTATACCTATCTTTATATAAAAATGTGTTTAAGAAACTTGACTAAAAAAAAACATATATTGCAGGTACTATAGGTGCATTAAGCGCAGTTTTATTGACTGTCATAGTGTCATATCATGTACATAGGTTATAGCAGTTATATTATTACGTATTAGTAATTAACAAGGATATTTACTACCTTGCATAATACATCATTACTTACAATATCGGTACCCTAGTGACAACCAATTTTAATCATTTATCCAAAAATCATATTTTTTTCAATACTATATTAATATGCTTGTATGGGAAAATACATTTCAACTAAATAAATAAATTTGCATTTAAATATTAAATTGTACAAAGTGAGATTTTATCTCAGTTTATGAATGAAAATAATATAATGTATATTGATTATACATGAATCTGACATGATTGTSGTAATGTGTTTATGTGCCGATAGCTCTAGCGGGAATACGTCATATAAATAAACTGAAATTAAATTATAATTCCAGAGTATAAAAAAATATTGTTAAGTTTGATTACTAGCATAACTAGCAAAGACAGTGGATGGGGATATTTTTGAAAAATGTCCTTAAACAATTGTTTATAGTAACACTTCACGACTCAAACAAAAATGTATACATTGAATGATTAAAATATTACATTTGTTTAGTCTAGATCTCGAATACCGGTGCAGCTAGAAACGTCTGATAGTGAAAGAGAGTACACTCAAGTGTCAACCGAATGGACATTTCCTTTTGTAGTTGTTGATATTTCCGTGGCTTATTCCCTTTACGATCAATATTTAAATTATTTAACAACAAGGTAACAGCGTGAAAAATTACGATACTATCAATTTATTGATTATTCCATTCATTGTTTACCGTTGTAATAACTTTGTTGTGTAAAATATAGTCAGATCACTCTGATGCAGATGAATCTTATTCCTGAAAGCCCACAATCTGTAATATGCAACCAGTCAAAGTTAAATAAGTATCAAGAAACTTTGAATAACATCATAGAAACGTTGATAAAAAATAACGTATACATTATATCATATTAAAACTATGGCGTATCGCACCATACACAACAATATCTATACTTTAAATAATTTTTTGGATAAAATTAGTTGAATTCAAACATTAAATAACATTTAAACATTATCATACATATGTCGTTTTAAGTTATAATAGAAAAAAATTTAGACTTTACTTCAACAGAATACCTATGGTGGTAAATTATTTATAGGTGTACATTTTCAAAGGCATTACTTACCATTATTTAATTTGTGAGTTGTAAAAGTTGTGCGGTATACCATATTTTGTGATATGGCGTTTTGGTAATGATTATTAATTAAAAATATTGTTTATTACGCATTATTATTCACAAAATCATTATAGTCGGATAGAATTAATGATCAAAATAGTGTAGAAAAATTCTTGAACGAACTTAAAATTTCTGGAACTTACGAGTCAATACATTCGTCGTTGTTTGATGAAATTCAATTGTATATTCGAGAAAATTATGGAGGTCCATTAATTGGTGAAACGATTCAAGTAAATATTTATTAACAATTCGTATCTCGTAAGCAGCTATAGAGTTGAGACTTATCTAAATAATTATCCAAGTATAAAATGGCTCATCTATTGTAAATTATTTAGATAACTATAGTGACATTTATCTATTTACTATCTTAGATCACACATTTACTTATRTAAATATATTTTATTTCAATTATTTTGATTTTTTTTTTTTACTAAATTCATTTTATCAGAACACTGTCCAATTAGTATTTGATATCATCATATKACTGTACGTGCCTATTTTAACTATTAGATACTTTATGTTAATATAATAAGTAAAAGAGTAAATTTATTATTTAAATATAGTAAAAATTATTGTTATCTACTGTTTTATCTAGATAAAAGTTAGATTATCTTTATTTAATCTAGATAAATGTGAGATGTATTTATCTTTACCTGTTCATCATCTGTATATAAGTAGGTATATTTTCTAGATGAAATATTCGTTATCTATTCTCAACACTGCTCGTAAGCAGTCATTGATGAATTTTTACCAAATGTAAATCTAAAATCACCTACAATGCAAAAAATACACCACAGTTCTTTTCTTTTTATGTAAAAATATCTTGTTTTAAATTTTTTTTACAAAAATTTAATTTACCAGATTATTGGTTATACATTACCTATACACAATATTATATATGTATATTATTTATGCCCATCCTCAGCAGTTACGATACGTTGGCGTTTGTGAATAAAATTATAAAYACACAGCTATAGGTACATACAACTGTATTTTTGTTGTAGAGTTTCGTAAATCGTATTTTCTTGGATTTGGTGGATAAAATGAAGAGAGCAGTGGAATCATTCGAGYTTCCGAAATCTGACGGTGTTGATAACTTACAATTTGATCGTTTGATCGTTTACGCCAGAGAAGCGGACGAGATGGAACAGGAAGAACGTGCCAAAATATTTTACTTTGACGTGAGAGCATCTCAGATGAAAAAATTAGGATAACGACACGTTTTAATGTCTGTCCATTTCAGTTAAACTCTACAGATGGTGCAAGGTGTAACCCGAACTACTGGTTATTATACGCTAGTTTATGCTCAAGGCGACTAGATTTCGATACGGCTTTGGAGTATGTCAAAGAAGTGTTACTAGTCGACAGTGGCAACCGAATCGGGCGAGTTTAACAGGGCTATAAACTAGTATAGTTACTGTCACTGTAAAAAAAAAAAAACGCTCGTTCATAATAATATACAAAAACTTAGAAAAAAAAAACGAAATCGACTGACAAAAATCTAGCACATAATTTTTATAATCGTCACTTTCAAAAAAAAAAAAATCATAATGATAATGATAATAATAATAAATACGTTGATATTTATTCCGTCCGTATTTTGTATCGCACTAATGAAAAATATTCGAATTTCTTCGTCATATATATGATATAAAACAACTGACTTTCTTCGTAACCAATTTATTTGATATACTCGTATAGGTACAGATATATATAATTTTTTCCATTTGATCTGTGTGTATATACTATTGGTACKAGCGTAAATAAGTCAATAATGTAAATTCATCGAAATGAAAATAAGCTCTGGTTTCGTTGATTCTGATTCATATTATTATTTACTCCGCTTTAACTTTCAAATCACATTGCAATTCATTCATGCGGTTGCGCTAAAAATGTCAATATTTATTAAAGGTTGATACTACTATCAATACGTACAGAAAAATCGACAATCTTACGATGTTAAATATTATTATAGTGTCGTTATAATAATAATAAATWATAATATATTATGCCATTTTAAATTAATAACATTTTCATTTAAATTCCAACTGCTGATATAATTATTGTGATAATTGTTTAATTTATACCCACTTCCTTCATACGAATTGACGACTCGCGATATACCTACAGATATTTAACATATATTTTCGATATAAATTCGTTTAAAACTATTTCAAAACTCATGATGATTTTATTCCATTTAATCAAATTAATTAAGTACAATTAATCACAATACAATATATATATATATAAAATAAGGGTTGAATTAATAAACAATCATTTGATTATTCAGATTATTTGTATATGCCGCAATACAGTTGACCATCCACGAGGACAACAACAATGGCGAAATCGTGTTGAAATCTTTGATAATGAGTCACGGAGACTTCAGCGAAGTGTACGCTTTGCTCAGTGTTCACTATTCAATACTGAACATGTATGAATCTAGCTACATCATGCTGCAAAGGGGTAATTATTATAGTATAGTTAATTTATTCTATGTGATGCATTGGAACGAGAAGTAAGATTTGTTAAGATTAAGTTATGCTCCATATTCATACAAATAAAATGTTGCGCAGCAATTATTATAGATATATTTATTTAGAAAATATTATAATGAAATTATTATATTTTTCCTATTAATATACAATTTAAAATCTTCAAGTCGTTTAATTTATTTTAAAATTTAATTTTAATAATCCTCATAATATAAATAACTTTTGTTTTATAATTTGATGATTTGTTCTTAGAACAACAAACAATTTATAAAACTTACAATTTACCGGTTTATTTTACTCAACGTGAGATGTAAATTGTTAGTCACTTATAATATAATAACACATATTTAAAAACTATAGGTAATTTATTTATAAATAGACTGCACAATTTAAATAGACATATCTGTTATGTGCTTATTTTAAAAATGTATTTTCAACGTTGTGATTGATATATAATGATATTGCWTTTTACTAAATAGCAGACATATAACCCAATGGTATAGAGGTTTAGTTAAATTATTTAATTCAAATATTATTCGTTAAATGCTCATAAATGATAAATATTTTCAGTAAATAACAACCTAACCTTTGGAAAAAATGAAAATCCACCAACCTACCACCTGCAAATATCTAAAAAATAAAAATTGTATACAAACCATATCTCCACCCCCGGAATAGTACTATAAAATCGTGAACATATTCTATATCTTTATTTTAAATCATTTGTAAAAACAAATAGTATTTAAAATTAATGATACGAAATCCGAATAAACATGTTTATTTCATTCATAATATATATACGAGTATTATATAATATATATGTTACCTATATACTAACTAAAAAATATAAAATCCATCAAACTCCTATTAAATTGAGTCTAAAAAATGTCTAGCTTATTAATTATTACTTTCTTTAAACATCTTATAACAATTAAAACTAAATTGCACCAAAACGTCCATTTGTTCAAATACCTACCCACTATAATTATTTATTTATTGATTATTTGCTGTTTTAGCTAAAAGATGTGTTGAAGTAGATACATTTGAAAATGATGATCACATTAGCAAAAATCTAATGAGTTGGACAMAAATAAGTCATAACAATGATCCATTGATTAAATGTGCAATTTTACTATTGAAGTTCGAATTAGTAAAAGTCAGTTACACAGTATATCAATGAATTTAATGGAGTTTTGGTAGAATTATTCTAAATCATTATATTTTTTAAGTTGGCAAAACATTGCTTAAAATTAGTGAACAATGAAAGTGAATCGTATCATTATTACACAGCATTATGCGAGTACAAAACAGGAAATCATTTGGCAAGTTTAGAACATTTAAAAAGTGATAAATTGATAGAAAAATATGTAAGTATGTATATTGTTATAATTACAATATTTTTCATAGTATCATATTATATTCAAATAACTATGTTATAACTTAAATTGTATAAATTATAATTAGGTAACTAACTTACTATGTAAATATACCAAATATATATTGAAGAAACATTAAACAATAAAAAAAAAAACAAGAATTCGTTAAGCCGTATGAATGATAATTTACTAATGTTTTACTTTTTATCTTCTCAAAAAACGTGTTCAAATAAATGTATTTAGAACAATTCGGAGGTGCAATTTCTAATGACTATACTTCCAAAGTTTCAAAACTTTCCTTTTAGATAAAAAAATGTATAACAAACATTTTAAATACTATAATTATTAATTTCATATCACTATTAAAATTTATATATTTGAACATGTCGTATAATTATGAGTACTGATATCTACGTTTTGTACTAAACCAAAATATGAGAACATCAAAATGACTATAAATAAACACACTATAATAAATCATTAACGTTAAAACATAGGTGTATAATTAATTTTAATAAATCAAATATCACTTGCGTACAGCAGTCGTTTGGTTATAAACTTATAACTTATAATGTATATTAATTATTAATATCGAACTTCTTGGAATCTGTTTTTTTTTTTTTGCAGAAGAAAGTTACTGAATCATTACAATTTCTTAACGAAATAGAATTTAACGAACGGCTCGATATTTTTGAAAATGACTTGTTACACATAATATATTCAGAAGCTCCCTGCAAAGAATTACATTTGGTCTATTTAAAAGGAGCGATGYATTGTTATAAAAATAAATGGTATATCAAAGGAGCCGAAATTTGTAAAATCGCTTGCACTGTATTACACACTCCAATGATACTGATATTGTTAGCCAAGTGTTTGATACAGGTGACTTTTTAAAATTTAATTTAATATATAAGAATATTTTAATTTCCACAAAAGTGTCAAAATATAAATGTAAATCCATATTAAATTATCAATTAAAGGCATTCACATACGTTAAATTCCAAATTTAACATTCAATTCATATAATTCTCACTTAGCAATTTGGCATGATTTCTGATGAAACCATGTAATTTAATATATATAAGTAGCCAGTAGTTACATACAATAAAACAATGTCTAATGAGTCTTTTTTATGTGTCTACTGCAATGCAGACATTTGTTAATAATCTAGTTTGACTACACTACATTTTTTATCATCACATCTTTGTTAACTAAATAATATTAATAAATTTTAATAACAAATAACAATAGGTTATTAGTTATTAGGTCATCTAATGTTTCAATTTATAATCTATGCGAAAGAACAATAGACTATTACGATAACGAATTGTAATATTTAATTACTCGTTACTTCCTGTACGAGTTTTAATTGATAATGTGGAATGTGGAAAACATAATTATTTAGTTTCATATTGGCAATAAAACACATATGAAATATATATAATATTATTTAAGTATCTAAAATATATACGTTAAACCTTATCTCATTTAATCGTACCTATACAAAACGTTAATGTATTGTTATTATAAATTATAACTTATTATATGAGAAAATTCAATTTAAACGTTAGAATGGTGTCTATTTGAGTGCTGGTATTATTTCCACCCTAACATTTCCACAGGTCATTTGAGCTTGGTCGTTTATGATAACTCTTATGCTTATCTAACAATTATTTTTTATTTATTTCTGTTGTAATTTATGCTTGGCATATTATCCTTCATGTTTGAATAAATTTTCACTTTTAAATACAATTTACGAATTTTCATTATCCGATACTTGTATCCATTATTAAAAAAAAATACTTTTTTTTTGTTGCTAAGATGATAGGAAACTTTAAGGTAGAGGGAGGAATTTGATACAGTTAAATCAGAATTAATTATAAAAAATAATTTAATACATTCATTTTCTGAGTTCTTCGATAAAATTAAAAACGAACAAAAATATTAACCCCAGTAACATATTCATTTTAATTATATTTAATTACATTTRATTATATTTAAAATATAATTTAAATACCTAATGTTTAATCGGTATTATAATTATATGTAATATGAGAAATACAAATTTATCAAAGGAAAAATAAAGACTTTTACCATTAGACTGTTATTTTTAGAGGAAAAGTTGGTAAATAAATCGTTGCTAATCATTACTTTTTGAACTTCTATACTTAATTGTAACTATAAACGTATACARAAAATTAAATTTCATAAATTATGTCATTGACTAATTCAAACATTTTATAGTTACCTTAATTTGGGCTATATTACTTATTTATCTAGATAAAACAACTAGGCACGAAGGTACCTGAGCGTGATCACATGACAAACGATCTTATCAAAACAAACTCTAAAGTCCTACTCCCTGCTAAACAAATTAAACATAATTTTTAAGGAGATTGCAAATGGACAGTTTTTAAGGAGTTCAAAATAGGCAATTTTCAAACTGTATGCATACGAATCGTAATGTGTGGGACTGTGTATGAATAAAATGTAGAGCGTTCCTGCAAATGCGCGTACATGTGACATGACACCGCTTTAGCGTTGCTTGCGAGTACAGTTAACAATGTATGCTCATTCGTATGTACTTTGATAACGCGATAAAGCTTCGAAAAACTGATAGGAACTCGTTAATTTGTCTACTTGAAATCAATGAAGCCACATTTTAAGATGTTTATTTTAATTCTCTAATAATTAACATTTAAAACTGTTTGTAAATTTGTAAAATTTAGAAAATTCAAAAAAATTGTGTATAGAAATTTAGGAATAAAATTTAAAAAAAAAAGTGGCATAATTACTCTCAAATAGACATATTAACGAAWCAGTTTTCAGAAATCTAATCGCGTTATCAGACCCATCCACCCATCGATATGATTGGCAATAGAACTTGCAGTAGCTGCTGTAACATTGCTGCTGTTGGTACATTTTGGTTGAAATAATTATACGCTTGAAATCAAATACCTATATAATATAGTTTATACTCTGTAGATGGGTAAACGTACCCGTCACGTATGAAACGTTTTTAATATTGTTGTACTATTGAGTTGCATMTATTACATGAGATGTAGGTAGGAACCATGGTAGGTAGATAAAGATTTGTATCATTATATTTTTATTCTTCATGTACCTAAACATTTTAAACAGAGAATATAAAGTAATTATTTATAATAATTGTTGTAATAAATTCTGGTTTTGGAACATTCAATATTTTCGCGTTGCAATCCAAGTAATAAATGATAAATAATAATAAATAATATATAATTCTAGAAAAATAGGAATACGCGTTTCTGATATGTAAACATCCTTGTTGCGTGTAATGCGATTTAACCTTTTGGTAAATAATTTAATAACCTTTACGGCGCCGACGGTGAGTAGTGACTTTCGTCATAATATACGCGAGGCGAATTATACATACATATACACACACACACACACACATATATATATATATTTTATTATGTATTTTTTCACTTTGGCACGTTTCATATATATATCGTATAACGGCTAATGCACTCCTATACAAAACCATCGGCATGATGGTCTGTGTGTATAAACAATACATAATATAACATCTACCTACTGTATGTATATAGGTATTAATTTCACGTTACATTACGGTGATATGTATAGTTTCCGGATTTTCTAGAAAAACGATAAGCTGTAGCAGTGCAGTAAGTTTTGTTGAAACAAGTTTTCGCGTTCATCCGATACATGCCGCATCCGCCACGGAACGCGTCTAAATGTCCCCTCGTCGGAAGACGTGCAGGCGTATATGTGTGTGTGTGTGTTTTTTTTTTTTTTTTTGCGGATATACACTTAGTCGAGTCGTATATATATGTTWTATATATAGTTACGCTGCTGTTGTACGGAAGATATCATCGATTGCGTTTCCTATACGGACGTAATTCAAGTACATATTATTATACATGTACTGCGCTGCCATGTATTATGTGTGTCGTGTGTGTCTCTCTAATCTTCGGCCATCGATAAAAGGTCAACTACATAACGCACCCCATTGTTATTTTATTATTTTGTTATATATATATATATATATATTATGTACGCGCTGCCGTCGATTCCAAAATACGAGTCTAATTCGTTTTCCATCCCCGCGTTATTGATAAAAATCAACGACCGTGGACAAAAACACTATATAATATATATACATACGAGTATATACTGACAGCACAACGGCATTATACATATATATGTTTACGTACAAAATGTATTCAACCACGGACGATATAAACTCAATATATAATATATATAATATATATATATATAAACCATTCACGGAGAGGGTGCCTCACTATATATGATATATATTTATAAATTATGATACTGACTGCGTAGGACTTGGAGTCCAACGAAACTTTTCTATGGCCGATAAATTTGAACGCAAACGCTATTAAATAAAATTTTTACGAATGGCTACTGCTACAAAAATGTTATTTCTATTTMTATTATTCAATTGTATAGTTACACGCTATATAAYATTATAATGCACCTATATATGCRGATTGTGGTTATGTAGTGTGGACAGAGTGTGTCGAATTGACTCAATTCAAGTCTTCGTCAAWTATAAGCCATCATGCRTTGACGTTACGTAGTTGGCTACAGATGTCGGCATAGGGTAAYAACTCCTAGAGATAAAATTATCCCGCCACCAACGAATTGTTAGGTATTAATCAAATTAAATGTTTTCCATTTACTTTTTTGGATGACATAACAGTTATATATGCGYTATACATTTTAAATTTAATATTCCGAAGAGAAATATTTTCTGGTAGGTACATGAAATAATAATGTATTGAATAAATGTAAATTAATTTTGAACTAATATGGATATAGTAAGTTAATGACAAGATAGAAAAAACTTATAATAATATTTTCTAAGTTAAATTAATGGAGTGTAATAGTGTAAGAAAATAATGACAGAAATGTAGATCAACATTTATTCTGATGCAGGTACCTATACCGGCTATACGTATATCTATACCCGACTACCCTTCTATTTTTCAGACTTAACTTGTTATACCTGATAGTTATCAGGGTATAGATAACTATACCTATATAATCAACTTATTGTTCAAAATTTGGTTTTATACCCAGGAGGCTAGAATAATTTTCTGCTTCTGTATGTTAAATAAAAATTATAGCGTCATACAGTGGGGTCTTAAAAATAATTAAAAATAGTAAAAAAATAATTTTTTTTTAAAGTTTGTGTTATTTTTACGTAAGAAAAATATTTAAAAAAATATTAATGCTATTTGAGGTAATTAAGTAATTAATGATACCGTTTAAAATAATCAACCTTTATAAAATAGTTATATATAATATGTATTACTCGTTCAGACTTGCTAATGTTTATCTATATACTCTATTAGGTAGTCTATACATGCCGATGTTTTATAAAAATATTTTTATTTTAAATAAACAATCAAACAATCTGTAAACTTGGTYTTACAATAAGAATATGTGCTATGATAATAATAAGTGACACGGAGGTCTTGATAATAAGAGTAAACCAACGACTACACTTTTAACTTATTTAAATATACAAAAAAATATATTATATAGACAATTATATTACAATATAATATAAGTAATGTAATAATGTACAGAAATAAGACAATATAATTTGTCCTTCAAATTATTTCAATATAGTTCTATTATATTATAAACTGCAGGTGGCAGGTATATATATAGTGCACTTATGCTGCAGTATGTATCTATATACCTATTACCTACCTTCCATAATAATGTATAAGTACCACCATACGAATCATTTGATAATGATTAAAAACACGTTAGATTGTCATCGGTAAGCTGATTTACTGCTTTGGTATAAATAAATTTAATATACAGGTACCTATAGAATAGGTAATATCTATACCATGTATCGTAGCCCGTAAATATATAATATGCGCATGACCGGGGGCGATTACATATATGCATATAATTTTAAAATTTGTTTACTATAATTATTCGCGCTCAACAATATGATATATATATATATATATATACGTCCGCGACAGTCGTATATTTAAGTATATACATAATATTATATATAGTACTAAATATTACATAGGAATTGTATATCATAGGTACCTACTACATTGTTTTTTTTCASTATACAACCATATTATTAAATTTAAGTATTTTTATTATTATTTATTATAATTCATATTTAGATCGGTGAATTGGAAACCGCCGAGAGCGCACTGAACGAAGCAAACATTATGGATATAAAGAACGAGGAAGTGTGGGCATACCTGACGGTGGTAAACATMAAAATGGGAAACGCTAATGAAGCGAAAGTGTGTTACATGCGAGCACTTAAGGTGATTATGATATTGATATATAAATGTGTATTTTTTAACGTTAGTTTAAGGACCAGGACTTTAATAG